GCGGGGCTCGAACATACGGACGGCGAGATCGTGACCTGAGCTGAAGTCGGACGCTTAACCGACTGAACCACCCAGGCGCCCCAGGATAGCTTTGTTTTAAGCCACATATTAGAAATGAAATCCACTGAGAATAGGAAGTAGAGGATTAAATGCACTCCAATTCCAGCTTCCATTTGTGAGGATAATGTTTTTACAGTGCAACTTGATGGGCCTTTATAAGAATGAATGGGATTAAAAGGTTAGAGTCTTTTCCCTGTCCTGGAACACAGTATTGTTCCAGGGCCTCACCAAGGCTGCTGTGTACAGCTGCCGTGCAGGTCCCACCCTAGGGATGGGGGGAGTGTGATGGCTCCCCCTGGGGTTGTGCAGGGCACAATCTGCACAGCTACACAGGAAGCACTGGTCTTCCCCTCCAGAGAATAGTTTTTATGGGTTGACTATTTCAGCACGCTATGATGGTGGCCATTTAGCATGCATGGTATAAGAAATGTTCCTGGGGCGCCTGCGTGGTTCAATCCATTGGGCATCAGGCTTCAGCTCAGGTCATGATCTTGCAGTTCGTGGGTCCAAGCCCTGTGTCGGGCTCTATGCTGACAGCGCAGAACCTGGAACCTGCTTCAGATTCTGTGTCTCCCTCTCTCTGACCCTCCCCTGCTTGTGCTCTGTCTCTCTCTCTCTCTCTCAAAAATAAACATTAAAAAAAATTTTTTTAAAGACATGTTCCTGTATGGGACATGGCCCTAAGGGTATTTATCATTTCTTGAAAATGACCTTTCTGTCTAGGTCACTTGCTTAAACAGACTCATTCAGTTTCTGCTGGTAATTTTGTTACATTTTCAGTGAGGGCAAGTTAATGGATAGCAACCAGACTCCAGAGGTTTTAGCGTATTCATTAACAGCAGGTCTTACTAGATCTCTTACTTGAATGTCTTCAAGAAAGAAGTGAAAGAATGGCTTTGATGTGTCATGTGGGAAGAGTATAGTTGCAGGGAAATGAAAACATATCCAAGAATATAAGATGTACAAAGATTTGAATTTCTTATTTCCTCATAGGTTTAGAACACTGAGGAAAGCATGAGACTTCCCTGATCAGAAAAACCCAGGGATTGGGGCGCCTGGGTGGCGCAGTCGGTTAAGCGTCCGA